GGGCCGAGTGCTTATCGATTTTCACGACAGGGTAAGCCTCGGGCCACTTGGTGAACTTGTCGATGGCGACGTAGATGTACTCGTACCCTCGGCGGGCCTTCTTGAAGGGGCCTAGGATGTCCAGCCCCCAGACTGCGAACGGCCAGGAGAGCAGTATTGTCTGCAAAGCCTGGGCCGGCTGATGAGCATGCTTGGCATGGAACTGGCATGCTCGGCACTACCGAACCAAGTCGGCGGTGTCCTGGAGCGCGGTTGGCCAGTAGAAATCTTGGCAGAAAGCTTTGCTGACCAAGGAGCGCGAGGAGGCGTGGGCGCCGCACTCGCCTTCGTGAACATTGGTAAGGAGCTCGATGCCCTGTTTCTGAGGGATGCACTTCAGGAGGACTCCATTGGCGCCGCGTCGGAAGAGGGTCTCTTCCACCAACACATTCCTTTTGGAGACTCGAGTGATTCGCTCGCCCCCTTCGCGATCCTCTGGTAGAGTCGCGTCTTGGAGGAATGCTTGGATCTCCATCATCCAAGCAACCTGTCGAGGGGCATCAATGCTGGCCTTTGCAGGCCCCGGGGCCTGGACTCCATCGGGCTCCTGGGGCTGCATGGTCGCGTCGGGCTCCCACGCGGGGGGATTGAGACGCGCAGATGGATGGGCGAGCCTTTCTTCAAAGGCGTCGGGTGGGGTTGGGGCTCGCGAAAATGCAAGCCTCGATAGCTCATCAACGACGTGTTCTCCCATCTGGGCATGTGACGAAGTTCTAACCCATCAAAGTGGCTCTTCATACGTCGCACTTCCGGGATGTAGGCCTCCATTTGAGGGTAGAAGCATTGGTACTCCTTAGAGACTTGGTTGACGACCAGCTGAGAGTCGCCCAACACCAGGAGGCGGCGGATCCCCATTTTGGCCGCCGCCCTAAGTCCGCAAGGAGTCCTTCATATTCCGCCATGTTGTTGGTTGCCCGAAAATCTAGGCGAACCAGATACTTGAGGATGTCGCCGGTCGGTGAGTTCAAAGTGACCCCGGCACCGGCGCCCTGCAAGGTGAGGGAGCCATTGAAGTTCATCACCCAGTGCATGGTCGATTGGCTATGACTGGGGGCATCTCCGAGCTCGGGGGCGGAAGGCCCGAGCGTTGGGTCGGGATTGACCGATGGGGTCCATTCTGCCATGAAGTCGGCGAGGGCCTGGCTCTTGATTGTGTAGCGTAGCTCAAAGTGGAGATCGAACTCCGAAAGCTCGATGGCCCACTTGACCACCCCGCCCCGTACCCTCTCGGTTGCGCAGTATCTGACCGAGAGGGTAGGACGTCACCACTCTGACCCGATGCGCCTGGAAGTAGTGACGCAATTTCCTCGACGTCGCTAGAACTGCGTACAACATCTTCTGGGCTTGAGAATAACGGGCCTGGAGGTTAGTGTAGTCGATGCACATCCTGAGCTTGTCATTGGCCTTAGGGACGACGTCCGGGTTCACCAGCCACTCTGGATGGACCACCTCCCGGATGAAACTGGCCTTCAGGAGATGCGCCACCTCTTCGCGGATGAAGGCCTGGCGCTCCGAGGCCTGCCGCCGCACCTTCTGCCGGACGGGCCTCGCGTCTGGTCGTACGGCAAGGCGGTGCTCGATCCCCTTCCTAGGGACCCCAGGCATATCCGATGGCTTCCGTGCAAAACACATTGGCATTTGCCCGCAGGAACGAGACGAGCATGTCTTACTATTTGACGTCCAAGTTACCACTAATCTTGGCGGTCTTGGACGAGTCGTTGCCAAGCTAGACTTACTTGATGGGCACCTCATCGCTCGAAGTCCTCTGTTTCTTCGGGACGCGTGAGGTTGAGGCCTCGTGCCTTCCGCCGCCGTCCTCGACTTCGAAGGCTGCTCGCGTGCAACTCCACGCAAGCCAGCGCGATCTTGACATCGCCGTGGACGGTGATGGGGCAGCCCAGGCCCAGCATCTTCAACTGAAGATAGGCATAGTGGGCCGCCACCATAAACTTCACCAACGCGGGCCTCCCGAGCACCGCGTTGTAGGGCAGATTGAGATCCGCCACATCGAAGTCGATCCGCTCAGTGCGGAAATTGGAGGGCCCACCAAAGGTGACGGGGAGCGAGATGTGCCCCAGCGGCTAGGTGTGGCATCTGACATTGCATATGGTGGGTGAAAGCACCAGAGCTAGTTGACCCCCCCTGGCGGCGCTTGCGGGGTGGTCGATTTGGTCGAAGGTGAGCTTCACCTCCGACCAGCGCGACCACCGTGCAGCCTCGTGGGTGGGGACAGTGGCCAGAAGCTCGTGCTTCATGGCCTTGAAGCTTCGACGGGAGGCGTGGGCACATGCCCCTCCGTCGATGGTGGTGATGACGTGTTGCGGCTCCTGGAAGCCGAGGTCTGCGTCATCGGGTTCCTCGATAGGGGCCTTTTCCTTGGCCTCACTTTGCCGGGTGTTGGACGGGGCCGCTGGGGCTTTCTCCTCCCGGCGTCCCTCTTTCCGCTCCTGCTCGTATTTTTTGACGCGTTTGGCCAAATTCTTGACCGAGCGGCAATCGGCGAGGTTGTGGTGGGAGGTGTTGTGCACGGAGCACCATTTGTCCGCCGAACGCCCCCCGCTGGAGGTGCCGGTGTCCTTTTGCTTGCCACCTGCAGCCTTCCCCTTGCGCTGGGGCCGCGAAACACCTTTGGCGGCAAGGACATGGCCCTCGTCGTTGGAGCGGGCCGACCTCTTCTTTCTCCGCTTCTTCCGCCGCTCGTTGCGAGCGGCAAGCTCGGGCGTGGCTGCGGCTGCGCCGGAGCCGGAGGAGTTCCAGGTCCAGGCCTTCTCCTTGCAAGCCACACGGTCCGCGAGCTCAAAGAGCTCTGCGGTATTCTGGGGCTCCTTGGAGGCTATTTTCTTGAGCATGCGGTTGTGCCGCACGCCCCTCCCCCCCCCCTGCGCGAATGTATAGATGACCGCATGGGCGGGTATGCAGGGGATGGTGTTGCGCACCTGGCAGAAACATTGGATGTACTACCGGAGGGACTCATCGTCCCGCTGCCATACTGCGTGTAGGTCCACTTCCTCTCCTGGGCGCGGATACGTGCCCTGGAAATTAACAACGACTACCGGCGGCCTGTTCACACCGTTGGGCGGGATTTCTCGAACGGACCGGTATAAGAAGATTTGGTCTGGGTTCAAATGAGAGGCAAAGAGCCCCTCATCAATTGACCTGTACCGCTCTGTGCCAGGTGAAATTAGTGTGATACACATCAAATTAACAGGGCTTCGTTAATTTTAATGATGGGTCAGATGGGTACTGACTACTTTCGCATTATTTTCAGAGAGAACTAGTGTCCATCACGTCACATGCAGTACTTGATTATCTGAAATTATTCTATGAAACAAAAGCCGAACTGTTTGCTTCTTTTGAGTAATTGTCTGAAGTTAAATTTCTTGGCAGCGGATATGGATTTTAATAATTCTTATAGATGCTTAATATATGTACGGAAAAATGAAGGTTTTTGTGTTGACATGCTCTGCTATCTTAATCCTACTTAACCATTTTATCCAAGTTTTTCTGGAATCATTGCTCTTGTATGTCTTGAAATTTGTTTGTAATGTTTTGCTATCAGTGCATAACAACTGATAATTTGAGGTCTATTTCAATAACTTCTGTTTCTATCAAAGATTGTGTGTTATTCTGTACGGATGGATAGCTTTCAGCAACTTCCTCTTAAATACTGATAAACATGGAAGTCCACAATCGAAGTACTGGTTGAAGGAAAAGGTCGGAACATGGATGTATGAACGTGATATCTGCATCTAATTGTATACTGTGAATTCATGGGTGATAACTTGATCAGCGTATTTACAAATTAAGACTACTTTTAAGATAATGAAAGTGATGTTCATGGATGACCACCTTTTAGGGAATCAAGCTTTGTTTTTCATGCACCAGTAAAATTTCTCGTTCATTTCTTCACTTCTATTTAGATTTTTAGGATAATATGATTTGAAAACACTTATGATTGGTTGTTTTGAATTGCATTGGTATTTTGGGGTACGGTTTGCTTGCTCAATTTGATGCATATCCTTTTGTTCTTTTGCCGTTTCCAGAGCCTACGTTCGAAGGACCTTCAGCTTCATGTTATTACCTCCAATATGATGATTGACGCTTTGCTCAAAGGAGGCAGATAGGAATATGCCATGGATATGTTTAGTCCAGAATAATGTGGCCTACAATTTATTTAATGATTATTTTCATTGGAGCTTCTACTGCTTCCCAGCTACCTCTTTTTCTCAAAGAGGAAATATATGCAGCATGTGCAGTCCCTCCCTGAGAAATACCGTTTTCAAGTATCACATGCAGTATTTGATAATCGAAATTCTGGTCTGACAATAAGACCAAATTGCTACTTCCTCCGTTTCATATTATAAGACTTTCTAGTATTGCCCACATTTCTTTGTAGGACTCATCTGAATCCTTAGTTTTTATAATCGAAGTATTGTTTAAAGTCAAAGATGTCAGAACATGGATGTATAAACCTGATATTTAGATCAGTTATGTAATGTGATCATATTCTTGGGAGATAACAAGATCAGTTTTTCAGTTGTTATGTGCTTATGAGTTAAGACTGCCATTTCGGGAATTAATTATGCTGTTCTATGAACAGATATATTTTCTTAATCCCTTATTCGTTTCTTCTAAGCGTTCTTTATGTTGGTTGTTTTTGAGTCTGCTAGCTCAATTTGATTCATCTTTTTGGCCTGTGTCATGAGGTGGTGCCATTGGGAGCAGAACAAGCTGTGTGAAGATTGATTTCCCAGAGAACATTGGAAATGACATATAGATTCTTACGCATGGCATTTAATCTTTTTCAACTTACTCTTGCTGATTATTGTCATAATTTAACAAATACGGTTAATGATGGTCCTATTGACGGAACCATCAATATCCTGTATATCCATTCAGATGCTGTTCATATTCATCTTTTGTCCATTACTGCACCCAACTAAAAATCTGTGCCATATGAATCAAATCAAGTGTGGTTAGATTGATTAATCTGAATCTTTTGCACTCCTTTTTTTTCTTCAAAAACAAAGATAGACATACCAATGTAGTATAATATACTAGGAGAGCTAAACCAGGTGAGTGTATTTTCCTGACTTAACCTAGATGTACACAACCAGTTTGTCAAGTATTTACAATACATATACATCTCGATGTAGTTTCTCATGAAAGCCCTTTGCAACTCCTATCCACCTCAAGTTAGTGGCTGCACAAAAAGCTCTCTCCTGATCCTTCTGAATACCGCAAAACCTCTACTGCTATACACATTTTACAGTACACACACTGTGCTGACAAAAACTATAGGAAATTCAACAGGTAAAGAGTCAAGAAGTCTCCTGGAACGACTGCGACCGCGACAATGCAGCTGGGTTTGCCTTAAGAGCACGAGCAGGACGAGTCTCTGATGCTGCTTGGCCTTTGCTCTCACCTTTGGACTGGAACGGCTTGAAGATGCCAGGGTCTCCAGGCTTGATCCCCAGGGTGGCCCAGATGGAGCTCTTCGCCGCCTCGTCGGGATCGTCGATGCGGAGCGTCTTGGGAACCCACAGTGATTTCTCCTCCTTGTCCTCCTTCAGTGGGAGAGAGGAGTCCCTGGAATGCTTCCCCAGAGGGGAGCCATTGCCTGAACAGCTGCTGTTGCTCGACGACGATGGAGACATGCAGCCGCCATTCGTTCTGATCCACGGTATGTTCCATGCCGTGGCCGGCCAGCTGGATAAGCAACCCCATAGTGCAGGTGGCACTAGAGGGTATGGAAATGGTGGTGCAGAAAGCCTCGAGGCAACCGGCATCATGGGGGAGTTCATGTTCATCCATGGAGCTGAACTGGTGCTGCAGCTCTCAGATTGGGAAGCAGACTCTGGCATGCTTGTACCTGGCACCATCATAGGAACGTTGTTCCATCCTATGTTCCATGGGTACATGTAAGGAGCTCCAAGGTAGTACTGCGGCACTGGGCCGACTCCGTTGCAATACACCGGCGTGCTGTTCTTGTCAACTTGGGCTGCATTTTCAGGTAACACGTTGTGTGATGTGATTGAAGAGATGCAAGAGTTATCTTCCTGATTTTCACCCGTTGGTACTGCTGCAGCATTGGTTCCATTCTGCTCCTGAATGTTCAGCACTGATGCCATCGATTCACAGAGTGGCACCTCAGGCCCAAATTTGAGAACTGTTTCGTTTCTGCCAATTGGTTGTATAGGGGTCGAATGCGCAGATGCGAAAGCTTCAGGGTTCATTGACTTGGATATTTCCACTCTAGACCCCATCATGCAATCAGGGGCCATCAGTAAGTGACGGTAGTGCAACGATGAGCTCTTGCTTTTGCGCCTCCCAGCACCAACAGGTACATTTCTCATGGTTCCCCCGGCAGTCCAATACCTTTGGCAGTTCTTACAGAAGTGCCTGGGTTGATTAACATTGTAGTTGTTGTAATAACAAAACTTTGTGTCCATACTGTTGCACCGAGGGCAAGGGAGAATCTTATCTGGCTTCTTAAGTACTTTGTCCTGGCCTGATTCATCATTTGCTGTCTTTTCATTTTCATCTTTTGAGTCTGATGCTGCTTTCTCTTCAACGTTGTTCATCTGACCCTGATCTTCTTTTTTATTGTCCAAGGTAGATCTGCTGACTGGCTCTATGCTTTCTATTGACTCTGATGCATCAACCCTCATTTCATCATTTCCCTTCTCTTCTGGCACATCAGCCGTCACTTCATTATCCTTTTTCTCTTGTGGTGCATCGACCTTCATTTCGTTATCTTCCTCCTCTTGTGGCACATCAACCTTCATTTCATCATATTTTCTTTCTTCTGTTTCCTTGTGATGATCCTAAAATATTGCCGTAGTGGATATTAGCAAGGTACTTCAGTTCAAACTTCAAAGAAACCTCTAATAATGAAACCCTTTTTGAAAAAAAATCACTTTAGCAGGAAGTTTGGAAATTAAAGAAATGTAATAGGATCACAAGTCTATGGCATGGCAAAAGATAAATAATATCATGAATGAATCTTTCAAGCAAATGATATGCAACTATAATCACCTTTATTCAGCTTTGTGTTTCTTTTCTTCCAAAGAAGAGACATGTTAGCAAGCAGATATTCTACCTTTATGGGCCTAACACTTATTGTGTTGCTCCAAACATTGAAAATTGGGAGCATGAAACTATGAGGTGTACACCGGTATGTAAATTCATAAGTTGGGTATCTGAACAATTTGGACATGCTAATCCAAGCCCAGTTGCACAGATCCTAATTCAATCGACTTTAGCTTCATCCATCCACAGAACATGCTGCAGAGAGATATGCCAAGATGATCCGAAGGACAACGGCCAATCATCACTAAAAATAAAATCATGCAGGTATTCTACTCTTATCTATTCACCGTCTCGTTCTGCCTCAGTACAATCGGCTACGCGGATTAATTGCTTTTACTGAAACCAGAACACATCCTAATTACTAGCTGAGAAAAAAAGCTGACCACTCTTTCGCTAAATGAAAGCGAAAAGCCATGGTGTAGAAAGAGAAAGACCACCACATGCTCAAAAGAACCTTAGATTTTGCATGGATGTCCTACTTTACACTCCTAACCACTTTTTGAGGAGGCAAGGATGATTACACCCAAAGTACCCAACCAACCAATTATGCTAATTGCCCTCTCTCACCTGCAAATACCCCCAATCACAATTAGCAATAACACAGAACAATTATGGGCAATTCTCTACTTAACTGCCGCCTAAGTCGAAGACAAGGACAAAACATGGTGTACGGACAGGTAGGATCATCCTAATTCTTGGCCTTATCCACACACCTAAAATCCAAACTGAACCTTTTTTTTTTCATACACACCAACTGATCAGGGAAAGTGCACCGTAACTTTCACCCATGACCCATAGTTCGAATTCCTCACCTTAATCTGATCAAGAAGAGCTCAATTTCACAGAAACACATAAATAACAGCCTAAATTAAGCCGATCATATCAATCTTTTCCTTTCTCTTCCCCACAAAGCAACAAAACCCTCCAAACTCGAATGAAAAGCAACAAAATGCGCACGCGATTATTCTCACCTCATCCTGCGCCGCCGGCTCAACCTCCGCCGCCGCCGCCGCCGCCGCCTCCGGCTGGTCGGAGCCGTCCGCCGCCGCAGCAGCCTCAGCCTCTGGAGCCAGCGGGATCACCCGCCCGAAGAGCTTTATGCCCGGATCCTTGTCACACATCCTCGATCCCCCCTCACCCACCAACAACCCGACAACCACCGTGATCCTCCGCCGCCGCCGCCGCAGCCGCTGACCGGAGCGGCGAGAGAAGAGAAGACGAGAGGGGCTAATTTGGAAATAAAACTAGCTAAGCTAGTCTCCTCTACGCATGGGACGAAATGGGAACAAAAAAGAGCACGAGAAATTTCATTTCAGAGGGGATTGCTCTTGCTATATTAAAGAAGGGGATTAACCCTCTTATACCCTCCCAAAACCCACTATTCTCAAACACACCCCTATAAAAGTTCGGAGCAACATCGGTTAGCATAATAAGCCAAAGCAAAAGCCAAAATTTGAATTTTTAAACTTGATTTTGAAGTTAAGATGTTTTCGATGTAATTTCTTGATAGTATTGGCTTTTAAATCGCTACGAACAAATATATACCTATAAATAACTTTTATTTCCTAATAAGCTGCTTTGTCATATCCGAGAATATGAGCAATCGATGAGGCTCTTGCATACTCCCTCTATCCCATAAAAAATCAATATAGTAGTACTTAATATGACACATCATAATACAACGAATTTAGATATGTCTCTGTCTAAATTCGTTGTATTAAGATGTGTCATATACTCTCTCCGTCCCATAATATAAGGGATTTTGATTTTTTCCTTGCACTGTTTGACCACTCATCTTATTAAAAAAAAATTATGCAAATATAAAAAAGGAAAAGTTGTGCTTAAAGTACTTTGTATAATAAAGTAAGTTACAAATAAAATAAATAATAATTTCAAAAAAATTAAATAAGACGAATGGTCAAATAGTGCAAGAAAAAAAACCAAAATCCCTAATATTAGGGAGTACTTGGTTTTTTTGGACGGAGGGAGCGTAGGTAAAGCCTGTACTGACAGGGAGTGTTTATGTAAATATCGGTTCATATAGGGGCGTGGAGGCGAATTGTCCGAGGCTCGGGATGGCGACGCGGGGGGCACCAGGGGCGGACAGCTGGCGTCCAGGTCAGCGGCGCGGGGGGCTCGTCAGCCACGAGTTCTCGTGGCTGGGAGGCGCCCGGGGTGACGTCAGCTGCTGCGGGCGGAAGGCAAGCGATCGAATCTCGCGAAAAAGCGGAGCCAAAAAGGGGCGGTCCAGGCGGCCACCCCGCCCCCCGCTTTTTCTCTTCTCCTTTCTTTTTCCTTCTCTTTTTTTCTTTCTTTCTCCTCTTCCTTTATCCTACGTGGCACGTGCTGGACGGAGGTGGGCCACGCGTGTCAGTGGGACGGCGCGTGGTGGGGGGCCTAGCGCAAGTGGGGAGTTGGTAGGGGTTCTAGCCTTCTAGGGGAGCTGACGGTGGGCCCGGTTGGCGCTGATTGGCTGATAATTTTTGTCACTCTTGAGCTGAACTGGCGTGGGAAATACAAGATAAATAAAATCACCAAGAATTGTAGTATAAAATCCGAACCCCAAATACCCAAAATTGGGGTAAAGTGACACCAACGTGAATTATATTTTTTTAAGAAAATTAAAATAACCAAGCGTTTTAGTATAAAATATTGAACCCCAAATACCGGAAAATTGGGGTAAAATGGCACCAATTGTTTTTTTTAAAAAAAAACAAGATTAGTACTCTCCCGTTTTACAATGTAAATCATTCTAAAATTTTCCATATTCATATTGACGTTAATTAATCTAGACATATAAATCTATCTAGATTCATTAACATCAACATAAATATAAGAAATCCTAGAATAACTTATATTATGAAACGGAGGAAGTATAAAACACCGAACCCCAAATACCATAAAATTGGGGTAAAAATGTCACCAAGCGTGAATTGTTTTTTTATATAAAAATTAGTATCACCAATAATTTTAGTAGTATAAAATACCGAACCCCACGTCCCCACGCTCTACTAAAAAAACCAGCTGCAGATCAAAATCCGTTAGCTCATGAGAATGGTCCCGTCGTGCTCGTAGGCCACGTGGCTAGAGATCTTTCCCTGGAGACAATCCCATCCACAAGTTTTGTTTTGAGTAAATTTTTTGAAAAAAAATAGTGGGATTCCAACATTTATTCGTGGCACTTGTTACTCGCTCTCGGTCTAAGCAAATCATGGATTTGGGTTGGTTTTGTGTGCACATGTGGGGCCCTGGGTTGCTCTCGTCCACGTGGTGTTGCGGATAAAATGGTGGTGAGAAAAGGACGTCCATTTGGTGGAATCAATGTGTCAAAATTTTGGATTTAGAAGTACGTGTTTACATATGCAAGGTCGCAAGAAACTTGTTTGAGCTACGGCTTATAAGTAGAAATGGTAAAAGGTTTAAATAGTGGACTAATTTTTTTCCTCATCTAAAAATATATGAGAGCAAGATGATAAAGTTGTATAAGAACATCCCCTGCAGCTCATCTAAATTTTATCCTCCATACTCCCATTTGGATGGCCATCCAAAAAAATTCCCACTCTATATAACTTTTCACTTCAACAGATCATCCATATTACATCCTACATATACCAACATCCTATATTTTACTAATATTTTTCAATTACCACACATTTTTACTCCTATTGCTCTCACCTTTCACCACTTAAAAAAAATCTTGGGAAGTGGGTAGTTGAGGATAGAGTGAGGAGAGAGAACCTCCATATTTGGCTTGGGAAGGGCTAGGTTTGGAGGACCTCCAAAAATGGAGTACGTGATAGAGACTCTGTTGGAGCACTGTTTTTCTCCTCCATACTCCAAATATCAGATGGATGACTAGATAGAGAAGCTGCTGGGGATGCTCTAAGTACCCATAGCTCATGACCCATTACCACCCCTATTTATAAGCCACAAACAATTTTGGACTTTAAACTCAATTCTCTCATTTTAAAACATAGGGGTTCACAATGTGCACAATCACCGTTGTAAATACCCACGCCCAACTTTTATAAACACATCGAGAAGACTGACATCTGAAAAAAAAACTCAACCTTAAAGTTAGTTTAGTGTGTTGTTTTATCCCTTCCTAATCTTTTAACTCTAAATTTAGACTGCTAGAATTTGAAGTACAAAAATCTTATCCAAAATTTTCTACTCCATTTGCTACGTACTCCATCTCGTCTTGGTTTATATATAATTCACAGTCGTAGTTATACGAGCAAATGCCAGTGGTGTGTGCTAGCGAAATTACCCAGAATTGATACGCATGTTGAGTATCATGTTGATGGCTTGTTTGGAGAGTTTAAGATTAAGAGAAGCAGCTGATAGGTAGCTAGCTTCTAAGAATCTGAAAAGGCTGGGTTTCCGAGCTTCTGACTTCTAGTTTATTTCTGAATTCTATAACTACAACTTAAGCTGAACTATTTGAAAGAACTTTTGATTGTAAGAAAAACTGCGGCAGCTATAAGCTCCCCAAATAGCCTTAGGCTACGCTCAGGAGGAGGGTTGGCACGTAAAACGAAGCACATATTATTGCATGATTAATTAAGTATTAATTATTTTTTTCAAAAATAGATTAATATGATTTTTTTAATATAACTTTCGTACAGATTTTTTTTTAAAAAAGCATACTCCCTCCGTTCTAAAATATAAGCATTTTTAGCATAGTGTTAAGTCAAATATTTTTAACTTTGACTATTAATAAAAAAATAAAAAATCAATCATATAAAATTGATGTTACTAGATATATCATTAAACAAACTATCATAATATACAACTCTTTTTATTTAAAACATCTTACTTTTATATATATTATTAGTTAAAGTAGTATGTCGTAAACCATATCAAACTTAAAAGTGTTTATATTTTGGGACAAAGAGAGTATCCTTCAGCAGTTTAAAAAGCGTGTGCGTGAAAAAAAAAAAAAAGTTGAGTTGGCCAAACTTGGGGGAGGAACGCGGCGCACGAAGCGGAAGCGTTCGAGGCTGCGACCGAGCGAAGCGTCCTTGGCCACAAGCAGGCGGGCAACCTTTTTTCTCTTGGAATCCTTTTCCAGTTTGAGGATCAGAACGGGCCCACCCCCATCTGCCGCTGTCCAACCAGCAGCAATCCACCATCTACTAGCAGCGGGGAAAAGGGAAAATGGCTCGCGGCGCGGGGGCCACTTTCCTTTCCACCCGCGGGCCGCGGCCACGTCCACTTGTCACGTCTTCTTCTCTCCGCCGTCCACGGTTCGGTCTCCCGGCGCACGAACGACGGCGCGAACACATAAAAATACCGCGGCGCGCCGCGCGTCGCGTACTCGAGTCCACCACCGCTGTGGGCCCCGGCACCTTTTTCCTCCAAAGCGGGTGGTGTGGGACCAGGAGAAGTACGGCTACGTCGCCTGCTATGCTGTCTACTAGTATATGTTTGTGAGGCCCACCTGTAGGTGGCTGTGGCTCGGAGTCGGAGTGAGGTTTGTGGTGGGAGTGCTTTTTGTAGGTTTGTGGTGCGGGTTGCGTCCACCGTACGCGCGGCGGCTCATGGGCCGTGCCAAGTGGCGCTGGTGGGGCCCGCAGGTTGCAGAGAAGGATTCTCCGGTGAACCACACTGTTCGTGGCTGCCGCCTGCAGGGATTTTGCCTCCGGCGAAAGGCATACCAACCGGCTTTGCTTCGTTTGTCTGACTATAACAAAGATCATGCTTGTGAGACATGAATAAATAAATAAATAAATAGAATGAAATTTTCTGGATCCCAAGCAAATATTTCATTTGCATTTTTTTCCAATCATGGAAAGTACATTCATTATAACTGTTTTTTCTTATCCTTCCTCGTGTCCTGTCGAAACAGCCTAGCTACGATATTTTTACTCTCTTGACCCTCTTCCTCCTTAATTTTGGTGGCCTTGCTGCTGCTAGCGGGAGAGAGAGAGGTCAAACTCCTCCCAATCGTTAGTACTAATACCGTAGTTGAGTTAGTCTCGCAGTCGAGCCATTCTCGTTGATGGGTTCTCATTTTAATTTTCTTCTTGCTACGACTTAAATTACTTCATTTTTCCCGTGTTTCAATCAAATGCTAGTTTTGAAACTTTCATGTGTTTTAAAAATTTTATAAGAATCTAATGAGCATGACATTCCATTCCTATATTTTCTCTATCCCTATGTTTTGAGTCTTGCATTTCAAATGGGGCCTTAATCTCTAACTCTTGCTCAATGGATTGGGCCTGGTTGTAGTTTTACAAATTTACAATACAATAATGTAGAAGGGAAAGTCTATTTTTTTCTCCCTTGATTATAAGTCGAGTCTGATTGGCATCCACTAATCGCACAACCAGATATAGAGAGTCCTTAAACTATCAAACCGGCTTGTTTTGACTCCTCATGTGGTTCTGATGGTGGTTTTGTCCTATATAACATTTGCATGGCTTTACAGACAATTGTTTTATCTAAGAGTTGGTATACTCATGCCAACATGGGGCTTAGTGGCAATTCTAGCATGAGAAATTTACAAAAACCTATGTGGGCCTACAAGTCAATCACATGAAAAAGGAAAAAAACCTAGTGCCACCATCCCACCCCTCCCTTCTCTTCTCGATACGGCCTCGATCCCAACACAGTCAACGGCTACGGTGAAGGGCTCCTAGATGAGGTAGAGTGTTCCTTGACAATGTTTGTACCTTTGCTATTGCTAGATCTGGCGATGCCCTGGATGTCCTTGGCCATGAGCCTATGCAACATGCTCTAGGCGTAGTTGAGGTCGACAAACGACCACCGCCGGCGACAAGCTAGAGCTAGAGCTCGCCTGGTAGAGATGGTAGTGGCAATGGTGGCCAATGAGCCCATCCATTGTTGCTAGGCACATCACCCCCAACTATGCGTCCATCTGCTACCATTGATCACGTTGGCTCTGGTAGTCGAGCTTGCTTCAATCGCACAAAGTCGTTAGCGTCAAGGACTATGTTACGGAGCTCAAACATATGCTATAGGTGGTCGAGACAGAGCTTGCAAGTGTGCAAGTGGAGTTGGAGATGGAGAGGACCAAGAAGAATGCCACCGTGCCTCCCCCACCACGCCTCGCTGCTCGGCTGCTTGCGTCCTCGACGAGGTCGGACGTTGCAGCTGCCCGTATGAGCTCGAGATCGATGAAGCCACACCTTCCTTTCTTTTCCTCGGGTGTTGCCGCCTTTCTGCTTGTGTCCCTCAATAAGGTTCACTACTTTCATCACCACCGCAACAAGCTCGAGCTCGACATGGTGCGCCATGCCCAATGAAGAGAGGATGGGAGAGGTGGAGGAAGAAGGCACTTATATATGGGTCACATGACAATTGTTTTTCTAATTGTGATGCCATGTAGACACCAGTACGCGACACGTCAGATGAAACCACTGATAAAACCACTATATGAGAAAAATTGATCTTGTTTTGATACTTGAGGGATGTGCTATACTTGGTATTACGGTTGAGGGAGGCGAATCAAACTCGGCCTATACTTGAGGGAAGAAATGTAGACTTTTCCTATGTTGAGGTTGGCAGCTATATGTGCAGCCCAGGCTCAATATTGACTCTTTGTTTGAAGGAATAAGTTCACTTTGGATCCCTTTATTTGTCACCCAGTCTGATTTTCGTCCCTTGATCGCAAAACCGGATACGACAGGTTCCCCAACTTACAAAACCGTTTAAATAAATTTGACCCTGGTTTTAACTGAGGTGGCGCCTACGTGGCTAATTTGACTCGGTCTTCATCTGACATGGCATTGACGTGACGCTTACGTGGCAATTTGATCCGAATAATAATAAAACCTATAGGACCCACATGTCAGTTTCAATTGTGAGGCCCACGTGGACCCCACCTGTCATCCTCACTACCCTTTTCTCTATCCCCCTCTCTCTATCCTCTCTCTCTCTCCCTCTTCTCTCTCCTGCCGGAGCAGCGGGCCGAGCGGTGCCGGCGGCGGAGCAGCGGGGAGGAGTGGCGGCGGCCGGAGTGGGGCAGGGAAGGAGCGTCGGCGGCCGGAGTGGGGCGGGAAGGAGCGGGCCAGGCACCCCGACGAGGAGGCCAAAGAACAGGAGGTGCGCGGCCACGGCGTCGGAGGCAGCCGCCGCGGCGCCGCACGCCATGACGAGGCATGCCCGAGAGACCTTCCTGATGGCCCTCACCACCTTCAGCTTCCTCGCCACCTTCCCGTGGCTCGACTTGATGGCGTGGAGAATGGACGAGTACCTGTCGTGGATCCGCCCGAAGCTGCTCCGTGTCGCCGCGTCGCTGAACGGGACAACGGGTTGCTCCGCACGGCGGCGAGCGGCGCCACGGTGCCATCGGTAGCGGCGACGCTGTCGGAGATGGTGGCCAGGAAGCTGTCCGTGGACAGGTAGTTTCTCTGCGCGTTCTTGATGTTCGTCAGCAGCTGCTTGCAGATCTCCGACGCCTCGTCGTTGGCGTCGAAGTAGCCCGCCATCGCCAGCTTGATCTCCGACGACGTCCTCCGGTGCATCATTCGCTGCAATTCCGCGGGGACGACGCCTTCGGTGCAGCGTGCTGATGTACTCCTCAATGCTCATGGATTCCATGGCTGTGTTCCAATACAAACCAGAATTTCTCACCATTATTGATGGCAAAATGAACTGACACACAAGAACATATAAACAGATGACGAAAAGCTCAATGTTCTATCTCTTTTTTTTCTTCTCTCTACTGATCTCACCTTGGTGTGATGGGCACATGAATTGCCCCGATTCCAAAACTCAATTTCTTCGAGTTTCTTGATCTTTTGGGACAAGCAAAACCGGAGTCAAATACTGCCGAAGGATCTTATTTAAACGGTTTCGTAAGTTAGGGGACCTGTCTTATCCGGTTTTGCGACCGAGCGACGAAAATCAGACTGGACAACAAATAGAGGGACCCAAAGTGAACTTATTCCTTGTTTGAAGCCTAGCTCTTTCCAGATGGGTAGAATTCGGCCCAGTTCGAAAAATGAAATTCAAAATTAGGGCGCAATTTCATTTTGTTTAGAAGAAAACAGAATCCATCCATGTATTGCAGTACTGGGAAGGTCGTTCCAATCACAGTTCTAACTTCTAATCATCTAGCCATCTAGACGCAGTATTACAATTTGCGAGAGAATTCCGGCTGGTTCCATTTGATTCCACACGAGATGCATTTTGTTCTGCCCAAGCAAAAATCAATCAAGCAGAGCCCTAAACAAAAACAAAACAAAGGGTGAATTCTTTTTTTCCTTTAACCATAGTCCAACTCCATCCCCATTTCCACCGCTTCGAGAAAAAAAGGTAAAAAAAAAAGAAGCGACAGGTGAGGTGACAGCCTGACACCACCCTCCATGTTCCGTGGTCTCGGTCCACAAGACCAGTGTGCTCCCCGCCCCTTTCTCCCCGTGTGCGGAACCCGTAGACCACGACCACGGTCCACGGGGCCTCGTGCCGGAAGCGAGAGGAAGACGAATCAACAAACAAAAAGCAACGCCACGCCACGCCACGCCACTGCAGCGTCCGCGGGGTTTAGGGAGGGTTCATGGCCTTCTCGTCGGAGGCGTGGAAATCCTCCGCCACTGCCGGCCACGGCGACGGTGACGGCGACGGCGACCGGACCCCTCCTCCGACGCCCCCGCTGCCGACGCCGCTGCTGCCTCCTACGCTCGCTCCACTGCAGCGTTCGCTGGTTTTTGGGAGGGTTGAGGGCGAGGCGATGTCGTCGGAGGCGCGGGAATCTTCCGCCACCGCCGTCGACCGTACCCCTCCTCCGACGCCACCGTCGCCGCCGCCGCCGCCGCCGCCTCCTCCTACGAACGGGACGCTCACGCCGCCACCGTCATCGGCACCAAGCGGCGGTCGTGCTACCTCGTCGGAGGCGCGCGAATCTCCCCACGCCACCAGCGTCGACGACGGCGGCCGCGCTCCTCCTCCGCCGCCGCTACCTCGTCCTACAAGCGCTCGTGCTACGCCTGCGACCACTCCCAGCGCGGACGGCTCCTCCTCCTCCTCCTCGTCGACGTCGGGCGGGTCGCTTCCCCGCGGTGAAATGGCGCACGCCGTGGAGTCCATGGAGAAGCTTCGAGCCGCCGTGTCCAAGCTCGACGAGATGAGGCGAGTTCGATCTCTCCTTTTTCCCGGTCTCCTCCCTCGAATCGATCGTTCCGATCCTCTTTCCTCTTGCAACTTACATGCTTATCTCTGGCTTTTCCCCTGTGCAGTGACGAAGACAAGGACTCCTTCATGCACCTCGTCTCTCGCTACCTGATCAGGTAGATGGAGATTATAGTAGATTCGATTCGGCATGATTTCTCTCCATTTTTTAGTTTCTCGTTTCGATTTGTTGAGTTTTTTTGGGTGCATTTGTAGGGAGGAGAAAGAGATGATCGACTGGAACAAAGTTGAGCGACCCACCCCTGAGATGGTGGTGCCGTACGACTCACTGGTGCAGGCTCCCCGAGGTACGCACGTTGTTCTGGATGCCTCCTTCGATTTCAGCTTGATGATCCGATGTTGTTGTGCTGGTTTCGTTTGTAAGTGCTGTGAGATTCACATGCTGTTTCTGCGATTGAAACTGGATCGTGTTTGGCGCTGCAGATATCCCTGAGATTAGAAATCTGCTTAATAAACTTGCTGTGCTCAAGCTTAATGGAGGACTTGGGACGACCATGGAGTGCGTTGCTCCCAAGTAAGCATATAAATATTCGAATTGGTGCATTTTACCTCTGAATTGATTTGTCTGGTCAGCTTCTGCTGACTGTTGTTAGACTCTTCCTCAGTGGAACGGGTGTACGGCTGTAGTCCCAAAGCAAAGCAATTAGATGGTTCTTCCTCCGTAGGGTGTTTATGATGATGCACTGACGTGGAAGATCACATTATCATATTATAGCCTGATGATGCTTTTTCTTGTTATTTTGCTTGTAACTCTTTTGTTTTAACAAATGTATGTTCACATCATATTTTAATGTGCTTGGTAAGATGTATAATTGGTTATAGCATACTAGAAATCTGCCTTGATATGTCTTGATTTTACTGCCATGTTTCTTTTCTGGACACTGCATGCTGAAAAGAACATATTTCTTGCTCAGCGTGTATCTATGATATCTGAATGGTGTCCTAAATGTTCTTTTGAGTGCTTTATGTTTCTATTCCTTTTAATTTCCTACACTGCAGCTCAAATGACAGATCGTTCCTTTCCTTGAATGGATGACATTGATCTTGGTTATGCATGTTCATTGTCATTAAGTGTCCTGATATCCACATATATGAATTATCTTAGGTACTACATTCTTACAGGCATATTCATCGTTTCGGTTGAGCTATATCTGAATGCTCTACCACTGTGCTTAATTTTTCTGTATTCAAACATTCAAATCATTACAGGCTCACTGCCAACATGTTTTTTCTAACATATTTGATGCAATGCATCGATATTGGGTGGACTAGGAATCATTATGTTCTCCTTGCACCATCTTTGAGATTTTGCCTTCTGAAACAAGTAATTGTGCAGGTGTACGATTGAAGTCCGCAGCGGCCTTACCTTTCTTGACCTTGCTATAATGCAGACTGAGGTATTCTTAACATATATTGGTGTTTTTTCTTTAATGACTGGATATAACATGTAATTGTTTGTGCCTTACAAGTTTCACCCATCTGCAGTTTCTGAACAAGAAGTATGGATGCAGCGTTCCTATCCTTCTAATGAACTCATTCAACACCAGCCTTGTGAATAAGGTTGATATTCCCTTCACTCATCATTTAAGATATCCTTTTAGCATCTTGATTATGACCTTTTATTTTTGAAGATCGTGGAGAAGTACACAAACATTGAAATTCACACTTTCAATCAGGTATAACATTCTTTTCATAATATTTTCTTCATTTTTTCTTGATGAATATCACATATTTACACAATTATGGGTTCAACTTACAAGAATCATATTCTATACAGAATAAGTACCCTCGTATCATTACTGAAAAGTTCTTGCCACTTTCAAGCGAAGGAAGTACAGGGTCCCATTGCTGGTTAGTTTTCTCCAATAATTCTAAAGTTATCACATTCCGAGTGAATTGTCTGCTTAATGAATACATTTCAAATACACAGTCGTTTGGCCTGTGCTATATTTTGAAATGTTTATATTTAACTCATCCCATTTCCTTAAACCTGAACATTCCAATACTGTGATCTTTTGATGAAGGTATCCCCCAGGCCACGGTGATGTGTTTTTCTCATTGTGCAAAAGTGGAATACTTGATACCATGTTGTCACAGGTAAGAAAAAGTCTGAAGTCTTACCCTTTTATATAGGCAACAGCATTAGCACCTAGCACTATTCGTTGGTTTACAATGATTGTGTAAAATATATTGTATTGTTTTCCAGAAATATGTAACTTGATTTTTGATATGCTCATGGTGTTTTTCATATCTTTGTAACATGGAATGTTAATGTCTTGCGGTAATCTTATCATCCTTGAGAAGGTAACATATTTTCTAGTGTAAAATTTAGTACCTCGAGGTACTTTTTCAAGGATTATAAAATTTCTCTAATGTTTCTCCATAAGAAAAGAAACATGGTAGATTTTTTTTTCTTTTGCATTTTATATAAGTGATACACAATTATGCTTTAGTCATAAATCATGTCCAATGATGAAGTCCAAGTATCTGTCGTGTAAGGGGAACTTTCAGAGTTTGCTAAAAACAATATTGTTGCTCAGAATAGTTGAGGCATAAAAAATGTGTTAGGGTGGGAAACAAAAGAGGGGGTAGCCAAAAGAAATTGAATGCAACCCCTAAAATTATTTTAGGGACTAGATTTTTTACCATACATGATTGATAAAAAAATGACTATAAATATATCTTTTTAGTAATTTATTGCATATTGATATTCCTGTGCTTAGTTTCTTTTCCAAATCTTCTTTCAGGGCAAGGAATATGTCTTCATAGCGAGTTCAGAGAACTTGGGCGCTACAGTCGATATTGGTATCCAAATATGAGTACAACATCCTTATTAATGTCTCATGGCTTGCATCAGAAATTGAATCCTTAACCAGCACAGAAATCCTAAACCACTTGATCCATAACAAAAATGAGTACTGCATGGAGGTATGCAAGTGTGCAACAAGAACTAATTCCCATTGAATTTGGATAATACAAAAGTCAACTCAAGTATTTATGCCAGGTTACTCCAAAAACATCGGCTGATGTTAAAGGTGGTTCTCTCATATGTTATGAAGGGTTAAGGTATACTTATTTAATCTTAACTTTGTTGCCGGCGCTTAATTACATACTGCTAGTTCAGGAGAAAAGACTATGATTTACATGCAAGTTGCAATGTTAAATTTGTAGCAAATCATCATGTTGCTTGTTTCTACTAATTGCACATTGCGATATAAAACCGTAAATAATTTTCTCTGTTGTTATATACTTGTATGCAGCTGTTGGAGATTTTTCAGGTCCCTTATGAGAATGTAGGTAACCTCTACTAAATTATTTTGTTCCAACTCGTCAATTTTAAGGTCTGATGGATGCTTTTCTTCTTTTCTTTTGGGGGGGGGGGTGGCCTTCAGGTAGATGAATTCCAGTCAATTGAGAACTTCAATATGCTCAACACTAATAACCTGTAAGAAACCCAGGTTGTCTGTCTCTTATTAAGAGTTTGAACCCTTGCTAACAGCTTTTGGATATAGGCGGGTGAACTTGAAGGCCATCAAGAGGCTGGTAAAAGCTGAAGCACTAAAGATGGAAATCATTCCAAACCTAAAGGTGCACCATCCGGGTGAATTTGTTCTCTACTTCTCATTTGCACTACATTTATCTAAGCATTGTTTTTTTGTGTTACAGGAAGTTGATGGTGTGAAAGTCTTGCAACTTGAAAAGGAAGCTGGTTCAGCAATACAGGTGCAAGACACTTTCTTAGTCTTGAACTTATGATATGTTGCTCCTCCTTTCTGTTCATCTTCAAAATAATATGCCCTAATGCTTTTCATTCTATTTATCTAGTGCTTTGAAAAGGCCATTGGTGTTACTGTTCCTCGCTCAAGGTTCCTTGCAGTAAAAAATACATCCGATCTGTTCCTCATCCTGGTATATTTGAATCTTTTCCATGTTCTTGTTGGTCTAGAATCATAAATGATTGGTTCTAAGTTTATTTTTTTTGTTCCAGTCTGATTTATATATTGTGATGGATGGCACTGTAACCCGTAACCCAGCTAGAGATAATTCAACAAACCCCTTGATTGATCTTGGACCTGAGTTCAGAAAGGTATGGCAGTTGTATTTAAAACATCTGAGATATTTTAAATTTGAAGATCAAGAAGGGTCATTGAAGAAATCAAGAAATCAGTGAATAAATCTGGAATTTGACTGTAATTTCCCTTCTTTTTCCTCACAAAACTGTAGGTTGACAGTTTCCTTGACCGATTTAAATCAATCCCTAGTATTGTTGCGCTTGATAGCTTGAAAATCTCTGGGGATGTTTGGTTCGGTTCAAGAATTACTCTCAAGGTAAACCTCACAAGTCACAGTAACATATTGTTATTTTTTTTTACTCCTTGGTTGCCATTCTGTGGTGCTTGGTATGCCTCCTAATTGCAGTTTTTTTTCTGCCCATTTCAAGATTTTACATGCTTTTGGGCTGTGTACGTCCATTGTGGATGTAGAGGCCGGATTTTAATCCATTTTCTAAAAAAAAAAGATTTTACATACTTCACAATTCAATGCCTCTTTTTGAACGCATCTCTTGCGGAAAAATGGCTTTAATGATGCTACTCTTATTACAGGGTGAGGTGACGATTGCTGCCCAGTTAGGGTTAAAGCTGGATATTCTTGATGGCAGTGTTTTTGATAACAAGGTAAAAGTTCATCTCTGGATAATTATCTGTTTTGTGGTTATTTTGGAAACTGTACTATTATTTCAATGATGTTGGCCTTTTTATCTCACAGCATTCAACACATAGTTCTGGAGCCATCAAATATACAATGAAATTGGATGAGGGAGCGGACTGTGCATCTATTGATTCTGCGCTCAATCGGCTGAACCCAGGATCAACTTTGATCCTAAAGAAAGATGATTTCTATCGATACATTGACCCAATTCAGGCACGGAACCGGGCAATGTTCCATTCAGAAAGCAGTAAGCCCTCATCCAGCAACAACGAGTTACTCCAAGACAATGGAACTCCCTTCACTCCAAATGATAATAGTGACAGGATACAACCCCTACCCCTTGCTCCCTTCTCTTCTTCACTTGGCTCTTCATCACTGCTTCCCTTATATCACTCTAGAGCCCGTCGAGCGCCTTACTGGTATACACGATTTATTTTCGTGAATCCGCGAGGGGCACTGCATTCACAATTTAGGTGGCTGTGGGGGCGTATAAAGTTTAGCAGTGCGAAAGATCTTGCCATATTTTATGGTATTTATCATATCGTACTGTATGGAATAGATTGCATTATCACAGCAACTTTGAAGGACAATTGGTTTGCCAAACTGGTGCAAGGAAAGCTGTGGCTTATAATATTGGTCTTTCATCAGTTCAAGTTGCTTAGCCGCCGGCGCCTCCGCTGGGGTGAGAGGAGGAGGAGGACGCTCAGATCTATTCATCAGGATATCCAGAGTTACTTGGACAATTACTCTGACTCCGACATGTGGCATTTGATTGTACACAGTGTTGCTAGAGTGATATCCAATGTGCTGGAAGATGTAAACCGCAAATATATGAAGAATCACTACCTAGGCTTTCTTGCCATACATTCAACGGTGTTTGCCATCGAAGTGATAGGTTCATACGCTGTTGAACTTAATTACGACATTGAGCACTATGCAGAACCGCCAGAGTTATAGGTATGCAAATTTTCTCTTATCTCATTATTTGTTCCCATCTTGCTCTATCTCATTACTTATTCCCATCTTTGAACATAAGGTGAACTTCACATATCTTTGATAAGTAGATGGTTAATGTCGTTGGAACAGCAATAGATATTGGCTTTATCTGAGTAATATATTGCTTCTACTTTGTTACTTATAATTTATAAGACAACTAAAACAATATTTAATAAATATCATTGGCCGGAAGTTCCATTATCTAAAAAAAATTGATAGTGGAATGATTCTGTAGCCATATGAGGGGCTTTGGTTAGTGTTTAATCCAGTTGCAACACTTGCTAAATATGATTGGTATGCTTGTTGGTCTGTGAGCAAAAGCTCTCAATCGTAAACATTTTGTCAAGAATTACTCATCAGCATTTAGTATCATTATCATGATGCTAATTCATTAAGGATCATGTCATGTTCAATACATAACGTATGCCATTGGTAGTGCTCTGCGCACTGTGCCCATGTTCAATTAGATTGATTTGTACTCTCTTCAAAAGGGCATATCTGTTAGTTTTTTGCCATGTTTTACTTGACTTGCTTCATCATGTTACCAGTAAACATGGGATTTCCTTTGTTAATCCTATGCACTGTTGTCAGCTTATTTGTTGTTTCATTTACTAATCATCACCAGATCATCCTTGCTAGAATTATGTATGACTGATAGCTTCTAACTTCTCTGGTAGACAGGTACTCAAGGTCCCCTTTTTACAAGGGGAACCCAAAATCAAGTTCAAGATCATGATGCCTGCACAGCTCAATCCAGTACCTGATCCTGATCCCACGCAAGGTATCAAGAAGCCACAAGAGGTTTTAAGCCAATTGCTAATGCTACGTATGATGCCATCTATCACTTACTAACTCATGATGATATTGTTACTGTAATCACACAACATGTTCCTGATGCGTTTCTGTGGTTAACTCCGTATCATGTTCTGAATGCGTTTTTTTGTGGTTCATGGTATCCATATATGCTTACACTAGCATGACTCTGTCGTATGTCGTATATCTCGTATGTACTATGTGCTTGACTGTGGCGTATGTCTTAGTATGTAATTATGTGCAAATAAGTACTTCCTTTGTTTCATATTATGAGACTTCTAGCATTGCCTATATTCATATATATGTCAATGAATCTAGACATATATGTGTGCTTAGATTCATTAACATCTATATGAATAATATAGGCAATGCTAGAAAGTCTTATAACCTGAAACGGAGGGAGTACTTTATAGTACTTTATCTTATTATCTGCATTATAGGGTTTTGTTGAACGGGGACAGCTGTTTGTATAGACTAGTTGTGCCAGCTGAATACTATAAAACATAAGTATAATGGCCATAAAACATAAGTATGCGTAAATAATGTATTCCCTTGCAATGCTACTATCCCAACAAACTGAAAAAAAAAACACACACATACTCCACGTAGAAGATGATCTGAAGAACTAGGAACAGAGTACAGACTGGCAGTGTGAAACTGTGAATAATCAGGCAGCGGGTGGCTTGGGCTTCTTGTTCGGTTTGAGGATGAGATCGGCTAGAGGATACCAAATTATTGGTCGCTTGTAGGCTTGTGCGCCGGCAGCGAAGAAGAGGAGCAGGGCGCATTCCCACATCACGGCCTGGTACACCCTCGGCAAGGGGAGGAGGCTCATCACCACGAGCAGCACGCCGCACGAGAGCGAGAAGCCCATCCCCACCGCCGCCGTCTGGAAGTCCGACGATCTCATCGCCGCGCGCGAGGCCGCCGACGCCAGATCCCCCCCTCCGCCCGACGCCGAGAGAATTCCTTTTTTTTTTTTTGCTGATCGATCGATTCCGCCGCCGCCGTCGTCCGTCCCTATCAACTTTCTCTTTCAATCTGTTGTGTTTAGGTTATCTGATTGGGGTTGGGGTATATATGAACCGGAAAAATATATATACTCATGTAATCCGTGTCCTAAAACATCTCCGTCTCCGATCTGTTTGGTTATCTGATGCGGATTGGCTCGCACGCGCGCGCGGGTCACGAGGCTGGTTTCGGTCAAGCAAAAGTTGCAAAACGGATGTGGATTTTCATCTCTGCACTTAGGCCCTGTTTCTTTCAACTTAGGATTATTATAATCCAGATTATTAGGAGTAAGCTGAAAGAAACAGATAATTTATTGAAGTAGCTTATTATAATCTGATAAGCTCATTTAGGTGAGCTTTTTCCAGATTATTGGGTGAAAAATTACCCACCATGCCACCCCACTCCCTTTTTAGACTTGCAAACCCAATAATTTAGGCTCTAATAATCCGAAAAGAAACAACTAACCGCTTATTATACTACAGATTATAACAATCTAGCTTATAGTAATCTAACTCAATAATCTAGATTATAATAATCCCAAGCTGAAAGAAATAGGGCCTTAGTTCATGGATGGAAAGATGGATCTATGTGTTCTTGCTGAATTTTTTTTATAATGCTATTCAAATATTCAAGCTATTTTTGATGGTGTGTCAATTATATATAATATTTGTTATTGCTGAATTGATGATTATCTTGTATTTTTTTCTGATTGGAGAGAGATACTACCTAATGCGAGGCCTCGGAGGGGTTGTGGACGGGGCTTGATTTGACCCCACATCTCCAGTCGGGGCCAGGGGCAGGGGCGAAGTCGAGGGCGGGGGCGTTCTAGCCCAACCCGGCCCCGCACTGCCCCGGTGCTATCTTTACTAAGATGTATAATACCACACTAAAGGCCCTTCTCAACTGTATGTATATGCGGCATCTAACGGGATTCTACGCTTTCTAAAATATCCCACATGGTAATCAGAACTAGGGGTGGGCATTCGGTCTAACCGAGAAATTCGGTTCGGTTCTTCAGTCTTTTAGAAAATTCGGTCTTCAAAATCACAAGACCGATCGGTCTTCAAGAAAACTCAATATCGAGAGCTTGGCTCTTCAGTTATTTCGGTTCGGTCTCAGTCAAACCGAACTAACCTTAGCAGCGATTTGAAGTTTTGAACAACAAAATAAAACCGAACAAGATCGACGAATCAAAGGAACTCAAGTCAGATGAAAGACACAATATGCTGCCACTAGTGAATAGAGCATGATTCAGGAAAGAAAAAAAAAAAGCAAATTGAGCAAATCTATCCTACCACGACTTGGATCCCCGTCGATCTCCACCACTCCACCACAAGCTCCAGATCCCATCCATCTCGTCTCCCACCGTGGGCTCACAGCCGGCCTCCTCTGGCATCGAAATCCCCAGCTAACGGCATCTTCCTCCACCGGGGTGTGACTGGCCGGCAGAAGCAGCCGGTAGGGGTCGCTACTCACCAGAGGGCGGAAGGGTGGTGCGGCGCCAGAGACGGTCTCTTCCACTGCGAAAGGCGGAAGGGCGGCGCGGAATGGCGGAAGGGCAGCGCGGTGCGGCGTGGAAGGGCGGCGCGACACCGTGCAGGTCGCGCTAGCGTGGAGATGGGAGAGGATAAGGTTGCGCCTCAGAGAGGCCGAAGGAGCGATTTTTTTGTCGCTAAACTTGGAGTCACGGGATCACGGGATGGGGAGCTAAACTTTAGCCGATGGGGAGTTAGTTTTACTCTAGATGATTTTACTCTAGATGATGAGGCGGTATTGGGTCTAGTGGGCTGAGATATCACATGTGTTATTGGGCCATTTATATATTTCGGTTTTTTCGGTTAATTCGGTTACCCGAGACCCAAGACCGAATTAACCGAACTAAATTCGGTTAGTTGAAATTGCAGATCGAATTTGTGACCGAATCTCTCGGTCTCGGTTATTTCGGTTTCTGTCTCGGTTATTTCGGTTCGGTCTTTTTCTGCCCACCCCTAATCAGAACCATTTTCCTCAAACCAAAACCAATCATATGCATCCTCGCTGTCACTCGCGTTTGTCCCCGTCATCCAGTGACTGACAAACTCAAGAAGAAAATCATCTCCTGTGGAAAAGCCCATTTGCGCCGCTTAGAGCAAGTTTAATAGTATAGCCAACTAATAGCTCTAAATCATTTATAGCTAATTTAATAGTCAATTCATACAATAGTTATCTATAAACAAATACTACAATATCAATACCTGGTCTGGCCTATCATACACACATTATGTCTTGAAATCTATGCTGCAGCTACCTGCAAATCTATAGCCCACTATTTTTCTCTCTTTTCTTTTATCTCGTTAAAATATGTTTATAGCTAGCTTAATTATAGTCTGCTATTGTACCTGCTTTTGCTGGGTTTCCTGGATAGAACGAAGGTAGCACCACCAAAGACTCTTGAAGTCACCAACAAATACAAGACTTTGACGATGATCTCCAATAATGAGTACTAGTATGTAACTTGGGAGGCTCGAGACCAGTAGGTCTTGGGCGGTTGGGCTATCTTTTCTCCTCGCTTTCTCGCAAGGTGCTCATAAGTCATAACAGCCGCTGCACTGAAGACGTCTGCCAAGGTGTGGTAGACGATTGAGGACATGTTTGCATGTCAGTCTCAAACTTGTGTTCTCAACACGCGTATTTTCTCTCGTGGCCACTCACAAAGAGTTTGAGTATGTTAAATATGGAGTACAGGTGGTATTTGAATCTTCTGAAGATGAAGATAAAGATTAAGGACCTGTTTGTTAGAGCTCCAACGCCTAAATTTAGCTCTAGGAGTTGGGTCTGGAGTGGAGTTGTGTAGTTGCCTAAACCCAGCTCCATCTCTCTAGTTTATTTTGTGCGCTCCACCCAACTCCACTCCCACTTTAGTGGAGCTGAAACTATTTGATCCACTCCCACTTTAGGTGGAGCTGAAACTATTTGATTGAGCTCCAGCTCCAGGAGAAGTAGAGGTGAAACTGTGCCAAAGTGCCAAACATGCCCTAAGTGTTTTACGCAAAACGAGCAAAACGAGGTAGTAATAACGCATGCTTAATTGAGCTTTAATTATTACAAACTTGAAAAATGGATTAATCTGATATTTTAGAACAACTTTCATATAGAAAGCTTTGAAACGCACCGTTTAGCGGTTTGAAAAGTGTGCCACGAGTATCGAAAAGTTTATCCAATTTTTATTGGAGAAAAGAACATAGCATGTCAACAAGATGAAATTAAAGGCCTTGCTGACGAGATGGAGTCCGCAGGAAAGCATCTTGACGATGATGATCTCGTCTCCTACATCGTTGCTAGTATGGATGTTGATTTTAATCCCGTTGTGACGTACGCTAGTTGCAAACCGGACTGAAGCTATCACCGTCGGTGAACTCTTTGCTCAACTTGTTAGCTTCGAAACTCGTATGGAGATTCTGTAAGGTGGCTCCAACTATGATTCGTTGGCCTTCACTGTAGCTTGCGAAGGCTTCGACCGCAGGCAAGGTGGTGACTGCATGCGGCCACGTACGTCGGCGCGAAAACAATATTCATCCCATAGAAACAAATATTAATTGTTAGATTTGTCACTATAATTGCTTCCAAATTATTTCTCTTCCTCCATTTCATATTACAAGATACTTTAAATTTTTTTCAAAATTTTAAGTTTAACCAAGTTAACAGGAAAAAAAGCAACATCTATAAAATTAAATTAAATTAGTTTCATTAAATCTAACACTAAATATATATTTAAATAATATATTTTTAAAAATATCGTTACATTTCTTTTATGAATTTAATCAAACTTAAAAGAATTTAATTTAAAAATAAGTCAAAATACGATATGAAATGGAGGGACGAATATTCTTTAAAATTTAGGGTCATAAGTAACAAATAATAGTCATAATAGTTGTTTATCGAAGACCGTCTTATAATATATAAACAAGCCAGTTAGTTTTTTTGCCATGTTTTACTTGACTCACTTTGTCATGGTATCAATCGATTCTGTTTTTTCTGTACATCTTTTCCCTACCAGTAAACATGGGGTTTCCTTTTGCTAATCCTTCTGCACTGTTGTCTGCCTATGTTGTTGTTTTCTTTTACTAATCACTAATCATCCTTGCTAGTACAACTATGCATGACTGTGATAGCTTCTTACTTTCAGGTACTCAAGGTCGGAAGGTCCCCTTTATACTCAAGATGATGATCCTGATCCCAGGCGAGGATATCAAGAATCCACGAGAGGTTTTAAGAGCATCCTAGCAGATGCTCCATTCGGTACTCCATCTGAGATTTAGCGCACGAAAGTGAAAATCGGAGCTCCAGCAGACACACCATCGAATCATCCAAAAATAGAGGATACGCAAAAACGGAGAGAGGAAGGCCAAATATAGCGTTTCTCTCTCCAAACGTCATATCGCAACGGCCGCAGCTCCCGCCCCTATCTGAAGTTCCGCAACCTTCTGATGAACCCTGAGTTCCTCTCAACACTCAAGGCTGATGTTGGCCCGATCTTTCGGTGAGTTGTGATAACTACGATTTGGGAGAAACGTTGACGATCCGACTACAACCGTACGAGACGTTGTGTTGCGCCTTAGCGATCGATACACCTCTCCGTGGGTTGTTGATCTTGCCGGTGCAGATCAACCCTATTCCTGCAAGCAAATCGAAGAAACAAGCAAGAACAAGAATAAAGCAATCTGATATTGCAAATAGGAATTTAATACAAATGATAAGTTGGGGTTTCGAATACAAGCAGACGGACGGTCTGGCCGACACGCGCGCTGCAAGCGAAGTAGCAATGGCTAAACTTTCATCTAAACAAAACCCGAGAAACCCTGAAGGGGTAACTAGCTATATATAGGGGTGGGAGGACGACCTAGGGGTGCCTAGGGTCGTGCTCCACCAGCTTGGGGCGCACCCCACATGGGCCCCACCTGGGCCGGGGTCCCAATTGAAGTTACAAGCCCATAGGCCCATTATAGGTGATGCAACACCTTGTTCCTGTGATTCTGGCCACACGAGATAGAATTCAGAGAAGAGGCTGGATCCGTTAGAAAGAGGGCTCCGAGAGCTTTCCATCAAGTACTCACGGGCCGAAAACGGAGGTCGTATGCAGATTCGGTGGCCGTTTGAAGTCAGCAGTGTAGTAGGTGGCCGAATCGGATTCCAGCACTTGGAGTACTTGATCTCGATATCTTCTTGTTCATCCATGATGTGAGCAATGGTTGCATCCGTGGTAGCCATGGTCACATCATCCTCCCCTTCTTCACGGAAAACCGTCCTCGGTTTTTCCATATGGTGCTCTTTGCGTAGTCCATTTACAACAACCTGTTTCTTCCAATCAAAACAAGGCAAACTCGAGACAATTTGGTTAGCAATAACATTTTTCTCTAGCTTGCATATTTTATCCACATGTACAGGAGGTTCTAAATCCGAGCAGATGTAAACTCTATGCACAAAATATATTCCAAGATCATTATATTCACCAAAGATGTGAAATATAACATTGGTTGGATATGGCAAATCAGACTTAGCAAATAATTTCTCCTTGAAATTATCGAGCTCACAAAAATCATCAAACTGAACATAGCCCAAAGTATTTAAAGAAGATCTCAATTCACGCTCCTCTACTTCATTAGCAATGTGAACAACATGCTTAAAATCAGTGCAGTATGAATTAACAGTAGGAATAGCATGTTCATTCACAAGTTGTGGCATGGATATAAGTGAAGCATTATCGCATAACTCTTCTTTATCACAAGGAACAGCAAACAAATCAATTTGTGACAAAGGAATCTCAGCAGTTGGTTCCACTAATGGTTGCTCTGCTATAGCATGAAAAGTGGACAAATTCAATTCATTAACAACACACTCACCTTTATTAATTTCAGCACCATTAAGTTTACCTTTGATGCCCTCTTCAGATAATGGAGGTGCCTCGACTTTGAGTGTGATCAATGGGACTGGCGGCTCTTTCATGTCTCTCTCCTCCTTTTCATGATTATGCACTTCCTGCAAATGGTTAGTAATAGAAGACAAAAACATAGCATGTTGCTTCTTCATGTCCTCCTCTATTTTACTTTCAGCATTGCAAGCAAGTTGTAACAAATGAGAAAGAGATGTATATCTTTGACAATCAAGCATGTCCTGAATTTCTTTGTTAAGCCCACATAAAAACCTCAATTCTTTAGCTTCTTCGCATTCATCTAAACCACAACGTAATAAACAAGCTTGCATATCATGATAGTATGAAGTAACAGTTCTGGTATCTTGTTTTAAACATTGCAGTTTATTGAACAAAATGTCAGCATAATACATGGGAACATAAACATCTCTGAAATATCGTTTCAGGTCTTTCCAAGATTGTGGTATTTTGTTATGCCTACAAAGATGTTTCCAATCATTAGAAGCATGTTTAATTAAAACACTAGAGGCACACATAACCTTTTGTTTCTCCGACAAGACATGCTTTTGAAATTCACTATCAACCGCTAGCTCCCAATTAATGTAAGCACGAGGATCATAGTCTCCCTCGAAATAAGGCAGTGCAGATTTGATCTTACCTAGAACATCATCACTTACCTCATAATGGTCATGTTGATCCCTCCTCATGTCTCGACGAAGATATCGATGTTGAGCGCAGCTATCCCCAATTATCTTGCGTATCCCTGCCATTGTTAGTAGAAAACAAGAAACATACACAAAAATATGCGCGTTCCTATTAACTACTAGGTAGTGGCAGCTCAAAAATCGCACACACTCAAGCTTTTAACCAAGCTCTTACAAGATCTTACCAATGCAAGTGGAATGGTGACATACACCGACTCAACCAAGCACCCCAATGAAGGTTGGATGTATCGATGCCTTGGCAAACACTTGCGGTACAGCTGTAATCAAATATGTGGAGCTCTGGGTAGGCTTAAATATGTAGCAAAGGAATAGCAAATGCTCAAATCAGATAATGCAAAGTTGAATAATTGTTCAAAGTCAAGTATCGTGCTGGTCCTAGGCTAGAACGTACTAGAGACGCGAGCCTAGACACAAACGATACCACAAGATAGCACTAGGAACAACTCATGCACAACTCTGATATATGAAGTTCAGCTCAAACATAACAGTATTTTCTCTTTTCTTTCTTTCTTCTTTCTTCTTTTCTTTTTTTTTCTTTCCTTTTCTTTTCTGTTTTTTTTGGTGCGGCTTTTTTTTTCTTTTTTTTTTTGCACCTTTCTACCTTTTTTTTCACTTTTTTCTTGATTTTTTTTTAACAAAAACTGACTCAAGGACCTTAATGTAAGATTACAGGGACTCAAACATAAATATAAAATTTACAGGGACTCAAATGTAAAAGTCTAAACCTAAAATTAAAATTATACAAAAAATGGAATGCTGAATTTATGCCGGTTCCGTTTTTCCAAACAGATCTCGAAACCGACACCAAACAAAAATTCGCCAAGGTGTTTGACACAACTCGGAACCGTGGAAGAGAGGGAGGGAGTCGGACTCGGCCAAAGGGGCGAGTGGGACTCGGCCAGGAGGTGGAGTGGATGGCAGCCGAATTTGGTGTATGGGATAAAAAGGAAACTGATTTTTAACCAATCCAATCTACTATATCTTTCCAAAATAATCTTGACTACTTCCAAAATCAGATATGGTAATTCACCTTCCTCCTCTCGTGCACGACAGAGGCACGGCCAAAACAAACACACACAAGGATCGGCAAACTCTAGATGCAACTCAAGAACTCTAAAACTAACCGACAGAAACTTCTGAAAACTACAAAAATAGAACTGTGGCAGCGAGTCGATTCCGTTTTCGTAGGTCCCGACAACAATAGAGACACGGTGGCAGCGACGACTGTGGTACAAAACATGACCAGAACTCGAAACTCTAAACGAACTAGACGCTAAGACCAGCAACACGACGTGACGATGCAACACAAAATTCAACAAAGCAAAAACTGAAAAGAACAATGCAATGGCACAATATGGCTAGGTAAATGATACGATTTTTTTTGTATGGCTATTTTCTGGTTATAGGAAGATAAAAACTCACCGAGCAACGAAAGCTCTGATACCACCTGATGAACCCTGAGTTCCTCTCAACACTCAAGGCTGATGTTGGCCCGATCTTTCGGTGAGTTGTGATAACTACGATTTGGGAGAAACGTTGACGATCCGACTACAACCGTACGAGACGTTGTGTTGCGCCTTAGCGATCGATACACCTCTCCGTGGGTTGTTGATCTTGCCGGTGCAGATCAACCCTATTCCTGCAAGCAAATCGAAGAAACAAGCAAGAACAAGAATAAAGCAATCTGATATTGCAAATAGGAATTTAATACAAATGATAAGTTGGGGTTTCGAATACAAGCAGACGGACGGTCTGGCCGACACGCGCGCTGCAAGCGAAGTAGCAATGGC